TGCTCTTAGCTGTCGCTTGTGTCCTGCGTTTGATTGCGTTTAAAAGCCCTGTTATTACGCTATAAGTCTGTATGGTAGTAGTGCGCAATGGAGTATCGATTTTGGTGGCTGAAGCATTGCAAACAGAAAAAGACGTGTGACCACTCTTGCTTAGAAAATAAGTGATGGGTTATCTGTGTAGGGTTCTTCTGACTGGTGTGTTTTTTGAATTGCAGTGAAGAAAGAATGGCCTTGTCATGCTTTTGGGAAGCTTAAGTTTTGTAATTTTTGAAGTCCTAACATTATAATTAAACTGGGTATGAGGGACTCTTCCAGGGGTGTTCGTTGGGCAGGAGGAGGTTTTAGAGAAGTAGTACAAGAACTTGGTTTGCGTGTATTTTGCTAATGATTTTTCTATCATCTTTCGTTGTAGATAGATGCAGCTCTTAGAGATGAGGTTTCTAAAGGTGTGTTCTGAATGAGTAAGCCCGGACTGGTATACAGGTGAGTAAAAAGCAAAAGGTCCTTTTGTAAACTGTAGAAATGTGCCTGTATCAGTGTGCCGCTGTTGTTGGGGCTGTGACAGCAGGCAAGCAAATATTGATAGACAAATTGTTTTCAGTTGTTAGTGTTTCTGCAACCAGTGGTTTGTTTCAGTGGAGGAAAGAAAGAAAGGTGCCCAAGCATTAGTGGTAAAATTTCAAAAGTTTGATTCTCTCTAATGATCAGGTGTTTCTTCCAGACAGATAGAACCTTTTCCTGAAGGCTGTTTTGTTTAATAAAAACCCAGAATTTAACTTTCTATGTTATTACAGGGAGAAGTGAAAAACAGGGGTGCTCATTTAAAAAAGTGTTTGTCAGATCTGGATTGGGTACTGCTTTTACTTAGAGGTTTTCTTTTGACTGGCTGGTGGTTTGGGGTTTTTTGGTTGGGTGTTTTTTGTGGTGTGGTGGGTTTTTTTTTTTTAGAAACCATATATCCTTCCTTCTGCCTGAGATGTTCTGATATGCTTTACAGTATGAGTGCTCATTTATTTTTTCGTTTTTGTGTTTTGTGGAACTAGAATGATTGGGATCAGTGTTTACTCTGAGGACTGATATTATGATCGCTAGCTACTTCATATATACTTGTGATAAAAACTATTGTGAAGATTTTTTTTGCATGCTGAGGAAGATCGTGCTCTAATAATTTGTAGTTGAAACTGACAGTTTCACTTTCAGCTTTGCATAGACTGGACAAAACATATGCTTGATTTATGAATTTCTATCTTTGTGGTTTTATTCAGTGTCTTTGCGTTTGACAGATGTGGTCTACCCTTAATTACTGTGTTAGAACAGCAGTTTGTTTCATAGAATTGCTTGATTAAATTATGGACATGCACAGCCTTTTTAAACAATGTGAAAGTAGAGATCCATTGGCAAATCAGAATCAAACTGGAAGCTGATCTTGAAGACCAGATTGTAGATGAAGGTCAGAGAAGTATCTGAACAGTTTGAACAGTGCGAAACACACCTGGCATAATTATTATTTGATGGGCAGTGCAGAAATGTTGGACATATCTGTATAACTTTGCAATTATGAAAACTTAAGCTACAGCTGTACCTAATAGTGTCTAGACAGCCAGATTAAGTAAACGTAAAACACAGAGCTATAATATGTCCTTGACTTGAAGTGATGTAAGCAGAAAAAGCAGAGTGAGTAAGGGATGAGTCCTTGGTCATTCACATATCAAAAAGAAAGAGAGAAACACTGGAAATGCTTTTGCAGGTAAACTCTCCTTGTAACTGCAAATCCAGTGCAATGAAACACTGAATTTGATCTCCTTTAGAGAGATTTGCAGTTAAATTTACTGGATGTAGGTAACATTTGTAAGATAAGCAGAGATTGTATGAATGACATGAATTGCTATCTACTCTTTTGTTTTCTTTGAGCAGAAATACTTTTCTGTGAGAAGAAATGTAGTTATCTTCCTGGTTGTCTGTCCTGTCCTGTTCCGCATCCCTGCATGTCCATGTTGTGTTGTGTTGTTCCTCCCCTCCCCAGGTTTTTGATATAATTGTTAATTCTCTGTGTTATTCTGGGAATAGCTTTCTGGTTATGAATTATTCTCAAATGATAAAGTTAGTCCAGGTAAAAGAGCAGGTCCAGAGGTAATTTTTTTCCAGATGTTATCTGGACATGCCTTTACAAAGAGAATTGTGTCAAATGTATCTCAGTTGCATAAAACATGACATTGTTAAATGTTTAGAATACACTTTTACCAGAAGTGTGATAATATGCTATTAAAGCATTCTGAAAACAAATTGCATGTAAGGAATTAGTTGACAAAAGGAAAAATATGTAAAATTATCAGGCTGATCTTACTCCCTTTCTTTGCAGAGAGAATGGAATCTCTGACTCCCTCATCAAACATAGTAGATATAAATCTGAAGATAACTCATACAGAATGCCATCCCGAATGCTTGGTTATAATGTTCCAGGGTCAGTACAAGGCAGGATGTGAGCTTGACTATTACATACTACAAAATGAAATACAACGTGTATCCAAAGTAAAAGGTAATGTTAACATTGGTGGATCTTGTTTGGTAGAAGATGTAGAAGGGAAATGGCATAGAGGAAGAGTTCTGGAGAAGAGAGAGAGCATCTGTGAGGCTTTTCTTATAGACACTGGGCAAGTGCTAGTGGTTGAGGAAACACATCTTGCTTCTGTTTGTGATGAATTTTTTCAGCTGCCTCCAAAGGTGATTTTGGGAGTTTTTGCAAGCATACTTCCTCTTGGAGAAAAATGGAGTCCAAAAGCCATTAACTATTTTTCATCTCTGGTAGGATTACAGATTACAGGTCATGTGAAAGCTGTTACACCATGCCAACTATTTGTTCTAGAAGTACCAAAGATCATTAGTGATGTTCGTGAACTGCAGTTAGGAAAATTTATAGATGGAGATTCATTTTGTCTTATTGTAGAAACGTTACAAGTGTTTCCCCAGGAAATGCTTTGTAAGAGAGTGCCAAAACTGTTGCAACGGAAGTATCCTGTCAAGGAGTTGCTTGCTTTCAGTACTTCTGAGAAACCAACAGATTTTTGGCCAGTTCCAGGTGATTTCTTTCCACGTCTACCTGTTGGCAGTAAAGAAAATGTAAAAATAACTGTTGCACTAAGCCCAAATAAATTTTACTGTCAGATACAGAAATGGCAGAAAGAGCTGGAAGATATGACAGAAGCTATGCATTCGTACTATGAAGCTATCAGTACAGAAAACAATAAATCTTCTGATAGTTTAGGGCTACTCTGTGCTGCCAAAAGGCAAAATGGACAATGGCATAGAGGAGTGATAAAACAGCTTCTCTCTGACCATATTGAAGTCTGGTTTATGGATTTTGGCGATACTGAAACGGTGCCATCTAGTTGCGTTCAGAAACTTAAAATAGAGTTCATGGCATTACCGATGGTTTCATTTCCATGTGCACTCTCTTGCTTTGGTAGTCAGGATGAAACAGTAATAAAAACTCAACTGAAAGAACTTATACAGGCCTTGATAGGACAGACTTCTGTGTGTGTCCATGTGGATTTATTCAATGACGTTGAACACTTGTATCACATTACACTACAAAAACAAAATCTTGGAAGTAACTGTAAGCATCCAGAAAACCTGAATGAGGCAGCTGCATCATGTGACTCGCTTTCAGAAACACAAATCACAACTATTGCTGTAAACTACAAACCATGTGATGAGAGATGCAACTCATTCAGGAATAGTACTGGAAATAAACATACAAAAAACTGCTTACCTGAAAGGGACATTTCTTTGTCAAGCCACTGCAAAAGAGTAGAAATGCAAATGAATTCTTTCCATCTTGCTTTTGTGGTATATGTCATAAATCCATCTGACTTCTGGATTCAAACATGTGAATATCAGAATGAATTTCAAGCCTTGATGAAAAAGATTGCAGAAACTTATAATCCATGCAGAGCTGACGAAATGGTCCTTAAAAACCCAGAACCTGGGTTGCTGTGCTGTGCTCGGTATAGCAAAGACATGTGTTATTATCGGGGTGTTGTCGCTGAAGTGCTTCATGTAAATATTACTGTTTTTTTTTTGGACTTTGGAAATACAGACACAGTACCCTATTATGATGTGAAAACATTGCTTCCTGAGTTTTCTGGTTTACCAGCTTTAGCTATGTGTTGTGCACTTGCTTGTACGCTTCCTGTTGATGGTGTATGGGTTAAAAGGGAAACTGATTTCTTCAAAGACATTGTGTTCGACAAACTACTCATGTTTCATGTCATTGGAAAGCAAAACAACAGGTATATTGTTAGTGCGCAATATAAGAATGGTTCGCAGGTAAGAAACGTTGCCACCTACATGGTTCAAGCTGGATATGCTGAACACTGGGAAAAGACACCAGGTTCTGTTCGAGATTTGGCAAAAAAAAGTCAAGCCTTGAATCGCCACAAGTTTAAAAAAAAAAATAGTGGACAGAGCACCTGTAATATTTGTAAAAATAAGGTATCTGGAAATGGAGAGATACTTCAGAAGAAAAAATCGTTAAGTGTGCCTTCAGTGCTGAGAGAATCTGTTGTGCTGTCCTGTTTCGGAAAAGGTGCTATCTCTAAAAGGCACAAATTGATACATGAGAAGAAATTACTTTATAAACAGTTAGTGTTGAAACCAGGAGCTGTTTTTGAAGTGGTATGTTCTTACGTTGTTTCCCCAGGAGATTTTTCATGTCAGTTGCGAAGTAAGCTGCCAGAGCTAAATAACTTAATGGAACAAATTCAGACTTACTATAAAGAGCATAGCAGTCCTTACAAAACCGGACAGGTTGCCTGTGTTGTTAAATGTCCCAAAGACGGGAAGTGGTACAGAGCAACTGTTGTGCAGCAAGTGTCCAGAAACGAAGTTGATGTGGTTTTTGTAGACTATGGTTATCGGG